GCCGAAAGCCGCCTGCCAAAGGGCATGGGAGCCAGTCAAGACATGTCCAGTGGGAATATTTAATGTTGGGAAATGCTGTTACACTGCCATTAAAATATTGCTTGAGAATGAATCATCCCTGCCAACACTTTTATAGGAAAGGTCATACCCAACGCATCATTATTCCTTTGCACCAAAATGTCAAAGTACTGGGTTTGGTGGGACAAACTTCATTTCAGAGTTGAAGTTCTACTCGATTGTGTTACAAAGTTTATATTTATCCTAGTTCACAATGGGATGATGTATCTCTGCAAGAACAACTATCAAATGAGATGGTTGTGCCTTGCTGAAGTAATTCACTTTAACCCTGCTCAAACAAGCAAATTGCATGGAAAGAAAAATGATGGTTTCAAATTCAGCTTTCTTGAATTCGCATTAATCAGGAAACTTCTACATGAGGGCTTTTCTCCCCCTTGGGACTCACAGTTTTTCTATCCTTCTCAACGTTCATCAGATAGGAAAGCTGAGGGGTTTGCAGCTCTGGTAATTAGAAGCAGCTCGGCTAACACATCCACCCATGTTTGGATAGCGATAGAGAGGCTAGATTTTGGCATATAGATAAAGGTTCCCCAGCTTCATGTGTGCACAATCTTTTTGCAAGGACCTCCACTCTGTTTATTTTGCATAACACATTTTTACCCTCTAAAAAAAAAAATAATCCCTCTCTCAGACACCAGCATCTTTTCTAACCAGAGCTGTCTTCTGCGGGTGACACATTGTCCTGGTGTCTCTGGTAGGGTAAGACTTCTCTTGGCATTGTCAGATGCTGAGGGATAACACACTGGGAAAGGAGACCATTCCCAACAGGACACCCTTTTCAGAATCACTCCATTAATGTTTAATGATTGTTTTCTCCAGCAGAGGCTCCTGGCTGGGTATTAAGAAGCCTCTGTGTCAAGTTGTCCAATTGTTAACTTCTGTTTCTGCCTAAATCTCTGAAATTTCTAACTGAAGGAGGGCAAAAGATTCAGAACATTCTCAGGAGCCACTGGAGGGTGTAAAATGAAACACTTCAATCATTAATGTCAGGGTAGAAAAACATCCCTTTGGCTTCCCTGGCCCAAATGCCCGTTGCTGCAGAGGGAACGAGTGACCAGAGGGTGACCCCGACAGCCAGGCAGGTGTGGGACCCCACGAGCGCGATTTCAGTGGGATGTTGGCACGGCCAGAGGGACAGCAACTGTCTGCAGCGGTGCGTTGTGCTTCTCCCCTCTTCCCAGGCTGGAGCATCGTCCCTGGTTCTGCACTTGGTAGGAGCTGTCTTGTCTGCAAATAGCCCACTGTGACATGTCCCATGGCTGGCGTGAGGTCCTGGGACAGACTAGCACGGTCTTGTCACGCCATGTGCCATGAATATGGGATGTTTCAGGTGCTGTCTATCACCTACTGGCTCTGCTGGATTTATAGGTGTTTATGCACAGGAGTAAAGCAGTTTTTGACCATTTCTGACTGGCTGAGAGTGGCTCCTACTCCCATCCTGGATGCAGTACAGAAATGCTGGGCTTTCCCTCTTGCTTACGTGAGATCACAGCCTTGTCTCTGTCTCTGCATCCCCCAGATAACTTTTCCTCGCCCCTGCAGGTAGCACTGCTGCGAGCACATGCAGGAGAACATCTGTTACTGGGAGCTGCCAAGAGGTCCATGGTGTTCAAGGATGTCTTGCTGCTAGGTAAAGAGTTCCCCTCACTTCTACCAAGCCTCCTTGCTGCTGTGAAGGAGAGGGTGGTTCGGGCATCCTTTTTGCAGAGGGGTGGCTTGAACTCTTCTCTATTTTAGTGACCCTAGCACAACCTTTGGGTGCAGCTAGGCCTGGCTGTCGTTCACATCAAGGCCATGACATGTGGCAGAGTTCACTTTGCCTCCCCAGTTTGTGTAAGCAGGCTGTGGGGTGATTGAGAAAAAGCCTCTTGCTTCTCAGGCAGCTTTTCCTTGCTTGAGTGACTCCTGAGTAAGAAGAGGCTGCTCTGGCAACACACCGGCATTTCTGGTGGTCTGAGCCAGGGAAGGGGTAGAAGGAGGAACTTCTTAGGTCTTCCACCCTCAAAATTATCTCAGCATTGGTTACCTGGATTTTGAACTCCTTGCTACCCTTGATAAGTCCTGAGCAATGACAAGGTGATGGTCCCTGTGCTGCTTGTCCAAAGGAAACGACCACATCATCCCGCGGAACTGCCCCGAACTGGTGGAGGTGAACCGTGTGGCCATCCGCATCCTGGACGAGCTGGTCCTCCCCTTCCAGGAGCTGCAGATAGACGATAATGAATATGCCTGCTTGAAAGCCATCATCTTCTTCGACCCAGGTATGCTCAGCTTGGGAAGGACTGCCATCAGAGGGGACTAGTCTGGGTTATGCCGACTAATACTGGTCCTGAGCAGTGGAAATGCTGCCTGGTCTCTTCTCTGGGCCAAACTATTCTTAAAGGGAGGGGAGAAGTCAGCCTAACTGGGGAAAAAACATCCATTACAGCAGCCTATAGAGAATCAGAGACAGCTCACCTCAGCCTGCGCCCAGACCTCATGCTGTTACTGAAGGGAAGTTCCTAGGGAAACAGCCTGGATAGTTTGCTCTGTGGGTTGTTGCAGATGCCAAAGGACTGAGTGACCCCTCCAAGATCAAGCGGATGCGGTACCAGGTGCAGGTCAGCCTGGAGGATTACATCAATGACCGTCAGTACGATTCCCGGGGGCGCTTCGGGGAGCTGCTGCTGCTGCTGCCTGTGCTGCAGAGCATCACCTGGCAGATGATCGAACAGATCCAGTTTGTCAAGCTCTTTGGCATGGCTAAGATCGACAACCTGCTGCAGGAGATGCTGCTGGGAGGTGAGTACTTGGGGGTCCTACAAGAGGCCTCTCAGTGGTCCCTGATCACCATCCCCTTGAGAACCCCTGTAGCCATCATTCCCTAGCCAAAAAAGGTGGAGACTGCCTGCATACAGCTTAGCCATTGACTCACACACAGTCATCTCCTGCTGTCGTTGGCAACGATAACAGAGGGCACTCCTTTCCTATTCACCTGAATAGATGCATTAGCTGTGCATCTATTTACAGAACGGTGTCCCCAGCCCTCTGCATATGTAGACAAGCTTTGCTGTGCAAACCCCAAACTCCTACCAGCCAGCTGTTTCACTAATCCTGTGTCAGAAGGGAGTCATCAAAACAAAAAGGTCTGAAAGGTCAGGTTGAGTATTCCAGATTTTCTACTGGGAGCATCCAATGGGACAAACAAATTGAGAAGTTGTCACTGTGCTATTCTTTACGTGGAGGAGAGGAATATAATCCTGTACAAGAGGAAATGCAGGCAGGGGTTAGTGACCAAGGCATCCACGGAGGAAAATGGGAAGGGTGTGCTCCATCACATATGCACAAGCTGATCATGCACAAAGCCACTGCATTTTGGTGCAGTGGGTGTGCAGTGGGTTTGCACCGAACTGTTGGAACTGTCTCCTTCTGCCATCATGGTGACTAATGTCATATGCACGTTTTTAGGCTCATCAAGTGAAACACCGCATGCTCACCACACCCTGCACCCTCATCTGATCCAGGAGAACCTGGGAACAAATGTCATTGTGGCCAACACAATGCCTCCTCAGATGCACAATGGGCAGATGTGTGAGTATTGCCAGAGATGGAGAGGTCTCTGGAGAAACCAAGAGCTTCCCAGCATGCCCGTGGAGGTAGTTTCTACCTTGCAAAGAAATGTCCATGCAAGACAGTGTCTCTGATAATGAGTGTGGGAGAAATTCCCATGCAGAAAGGGGGGAAAGACAAACAGAGAGGTGGGCCAGATTAGATTAGGCTAGACTAACTGATTCAGCAAGACATTCCCTGCCAGACAGTAACTTTTACATAGCCCTTAAATTTAGGGATAAATGATCACATCCGGTGCCTGCTGACATCAGTGGAAAGGCTCCCCTTCCCTTGAATAGTTCAGACACATCTTACTTTGCCCTCCGTGAGAAGAAAACGGATTTCAAACAGGAGAATCTGGTCCACCACACAGGGCTATCACATGGGACTGCCACTTAGGAATTTGGGCTGAGCTAACCAAAGAAGTGGCCAGTACAGGTCAAAATGCCAGTATCTCCCCCCATTAGATGTTTGTTATTGTGGCTCTTCCAGGACATCTAATCATGCCTGTGTGTCCAGGCTGCCTTGCAGCAAACACACGAGCCATTAGAAGCTATGGTTTCACTACAGAGCCTTTGCTCTGCTTACACCTGAACCTGGCATGACTCATGACACATCCCAGCGCTGTCAAGTCTTCCAATTTTGTTTCTCTCTCTGTAGCTACTCCAGAAACCCCACAGCCATCTCCACCCGCAGGCTCAGGACCAGAGCAATACAAGCTGCTGCCCGGAGCCATTGCAACCATGGCAAAACAGCCCACCTCCATCCCACAACCTGCCATCACGAAACAGGAGGTCATCTAGCAATCTGCAGCCCCGTTGGCCTCGTTTAGAAGACCATGTGGGAGAAAAGCCTGAATTGCCTCTGCCACTGTGAAAGGAGAAGCCATTCAGAGGTTCTTGGGCGCAAACACATGGACTTGTGTATTGGACTAGTCCACCACCACCAAAAGCTGTCTTCCTGCAGCTACGGACTGCACATGCCATAGGCAGCCCCCAGTCCCAGCACTAAGGCTGATGCCTTGCCAAAACCCTCAGTCCTTGTAAGAAGGGCCAGATTTCTGCCTCCCTCCGTGGGGAGGTCACAGCGACCAACTGGGGACAGTGCAGCTGGCTGTTCCCCATTGCCACCTCTCAGCATTGGTTCAGCAAACACCAGATCTCGAGAACAAGTGATTCTCTGTGCTGTGCATGGAGGGCTTCCCTCCTGCAGCTGTGCCAGCTCCACAGACAGTCCCCAGCCCAGCCAAACGATGGAGATGGAAGCTTCCCCAGGAGCACCGCAGCAGGTGAAGCACATGGGTTTTGCACTGGCAGAACTGCTCCTCAGCCTTGGCTAGTCCCAGGTCTTTGCATGGTGTCACCCTCCAGCAAACTAACTGCCCCCAGCCAGGTCTAACAAATCTGTTCCGCTGGTACTAGGGCAAAGTCTGGCCCAACAGCATTCTCCACTATTTGGATATTTCCTTCTTTTGAGGGGTTTTGCTATTTCTGTGTGAGGTCTGCCCTCCCACCACAGGGCTCAGGGAGGCAACCACAGTCAAATCCTTCCCTTACACCACTATTGTCTCCTTGTAACCTGGACTGGGAAGTTGGGGGACCATGGGATACAGGAGATTTCAGCTAATGGAACAGGGTCACCCCGGCACAGGCTGGCTGTGAGCAGCACTGCCCAAAATATCACTGGCACCACTAGTGCTTCTCACTGGTCAGAAGACCACTGGATGCCTATTTGGAAGGAAGCAGTGGGGAAAGATGTATGAAGGGGACAGACCTGGGAGGGCAAGAAGAGCGTGAGCCTCACAGGTTAGACCAAGGTCTTGGGCTGCCCAAGTGCTA